ACTCTTCTGATTGCTGTCCAGATTCCCTACTTCATGTTCCCTCAAGGCAGTAAACTACAGCAGTCATAGGCTCAGCTTGTTAGTTTCTACTATTAGATCACTATTCTTTGTTGCCTGATATGTGTTATCTTGAAATCACTATTTCATGTATTTTGTCTGTTTTTCAGTTGTTTCAGGCGGGAAAATAAATACACTTCCTTTTTCTTATCTTTAATGGAAGCAGAAATGTTCATTAAGATTTTTATTTTTGTACCTCCCAACTATTTTTTTAAATAATACTTTTTAAAAAGTATTATTCTTTCAGTAAATTTCTTAAATAACATTCTTATACTTTTAGTAAGTTTCTTAAATAACATTCTATTTTCATTGCATTACTCTTGCTTTCATTTTTATTTCCATCTCTGCCTACAATCACCCTCAAAATTGCCACCAAGGTAAGATAGGAAAAACACAAAACATCTTGATACTCTTATTTTAAAAACTCCTTAATGTCATTATTTGTTCACAATATAAAGTTCACATTCTTTAGTATGGAGCATAATGTCCTTCTTCATATAGCCTTTGTTTGCCTCTGCAATAATAACTATCAAAAACATTACTATGATAAAGATAAAATAAAATAATAAAAACATTGAGTGTCTACTATTAAGCAGGCACTGGTGGATGTCTTATTGAAAAAGAAGACAGAGTTCCTATCCTTAGCATATTAAGCCTAGCAAGTAAGATTAACAATAAACAATTATAAGTATGAGTTACTATCTTCAAAGTACAGGTTGCCGTGGGGCATATTTTCTGGAATAATTAAAGATTAGAGTTATTTTTCTTAGTGAGGTGGTATTTAACTGAGACATAAAATATATGTATGTGAGTTAACTTAGTAAGAAATAGTCATGGAGATTGCAGTGCATAAGAGATTTAGCATGCCTAAGGAATGGAAAGTGCATGCCCTTGAATATTGGAGTATAATGAATGTCTCCTTGGAATACTAAAAGTACTCCTTTAATTCCCCAGTTAGGGTCCACCACTAACACCTGACCAAATTTATGCCACAATGAACTATCAAATTTTCATTTTATTATATGCCTGTATTTTTTGTATGTGCTGTTTCTTTGCCTTAAATCCATTAATTTTTTTCCTTTTGGCAAAAGCCTTCCTGTGTTTTAGAACACTATTTAAGCATCTTCTCAGAAAATAGTTTTCTGGCTGTTCATTCCTGTCTTCCAGTTAATATGACCACTTCTTTCTTTTGTTTTCACCTATGTTTTGAACATATGTGCATTATGGATATCATATCTGATTCTCTTACTTAAATTTGAGTTATTTAAAGCTAAAATCATGTCATGCAAATTTTTATTTTACCATTTGTAGAATCTGTAATAGTCATGGCTAATTTGGTAATTTCATTGCTGCTCTCCATCTCATTAGGTAAGAAAAGCAAGTGCTGGACTTCCAGTCAAGGTGGTGGCACACTGAGACATGGTTTGCATTGTTGCACATCCACATCAAAATTACAACTAAAATATAGGACAACAATCACTCAGAACTGTCAGCAATTGAGCTGAATTGAAGTCTGATAATGATGGAATTAAAGAAACCACATCTATCCAGGTAGGTAGAAGGGGCGCAGGCATAGAATGGGCTGGTCCCACATCCACATGTAGTGGATAAAAGTTTGGGATGGATTTCTTGGGAGTGAGGAGTCCCAGCCCCACAGGTGTCCCCAGTCTAGGGTTCCAATGCCAGTAATATAAGTCCCCACAACATCTGGCTGCAAAAACCAGTGGGGATTCAGTCATTAAAGAAACTTCTGTAACCCAAAGCAGGTCCTCTTAAAGAACCCACACATGGACACATCTATTCAGACTCATTGCCTCTGAGCTCCAGCACCAGAATAGCAGCTTGAAAGACACCAGTGGCATACTGGGAGAAACTGAGGTGTCTGGCATAAAGGGGAGCAGAGGCCATTGTGCCTTTTTCTAAACCCTTCCCCCAAAGAATCACTGAGCCAGCAAGCTGGTGCCATATCTGAGATTCCGTCAGCCTGGCTAACACTGTTTGGCCCAACTTGGAGGTCCCCAGAATCTCCACCCCACCCAACTTACAGGCCTACTCAAGTCACTTTTCCATATGAATGACTGGTTTTGGCTCATGCTTTACAACTTCCTAAATCCTCTCAAAGAAGCAACAGCTGGCCTCAGTGAGCCCCAGGCATAGCACTAGCAACAGCCAGCCTAGATTCACAGCTTGACTTTGCTTGGGAATCTACGAGCCCAGCATAAGTAGCAATCTTCTCAGATTACTTTATAGCTCAGGCAGGGTGGCCCCAGGCAAAATACAGGTAGGGGCTGACCTTGGTCTGCCCCACCCAGGAAACCTAAGGGACAGCACACCCACTAGACAGCTACAGACCATGTTGGAACACCACCACCTTACCCCTACACAGCTGATCCTCCAAGGTGGCTGGAGGTTGGTGGTAAGTGGTCACAGTCAATCCTTGCAGCTGACTGCCTGGGTAAATCCCTCCTATTGATCTGCCAACAGCAACCAATGCTCAACTACAAGAGGAGGGTGTACTCAGCCTACATCATGGGCTTACCTTGAGTAACCAACTTGGGTGATGTGGTAGGCTGTGCCACTGAACCCTACAGGATACCTACTATATTTGGCCACACTGCCAAGACACGAAGTCAAAGCAACTCTACCTAATTCATAGAAACAAATACAGGGAGGTGGTCAAAATGAGGAGACAAAGAAACATGGTCCAAATGAAAGAGCAGATCAAAACTCCAGAAAAAGAACTAAAAGAAAAATGGAGATAAGCAATCTGTCAGAGGTAGAGTTCAAAGCACTGGTTATAAGGATGCTCAAGGAACTTAGTGAGGACCTCAGAAGTGTAAAAAATATCCAGTCAGAAATGAAGGTACACTAAATGAAATAAAATACAATTGATAGGGAAACAAGAGTAGAGTCAATGAAGCCAAGAATCAAATCAATGATTGGGAAGACAAGGATGAGTAAAACAAGCAATTACAACAAGAAGATGAAAAAAGAACCTAAAAAATGAGGATAGTATAAGCAGCCTCTGGGACAACTTCAAGAGGTCCAATGTTCATATCATAGGGGTGCCAGAAGGAGAACAGAAAAAACAAGATATTGGAAATCTACTTGAAAAAATAATGAAAGAAAACCTCCGTAATTTGGTGGAGGAAATAGACATGCAAGTCCAGGAAGCACAGAGAATCCTAAACAAGATGAATACAAAGAGGCTCACTCCAAGACACATCATAATGAAAATACCAGAGGTTAGAGATGAAGAGAGGATCTTAAAAGCAGCAAGAGGAAAGAAATTACTTACCTACAAGGGAGTTCCCATAAGACTGTCAGCTGATTTCACAAAAGAGACTTTGCAGGCTAGAAGGGATTGGCAAGAAATATTCAAAGCCATGAAAAGCAGGGACCTACAGCCAAGATTGCTCTACCCAGCAAAGCCATCATTTAGAATTGAAGAGCAGATAAAGACTTCCCAGACAAGATAAAACTAAAGGAGTGCATTATCACCAAACCACTAGTATGTGAAATGTTAAAGGGACTTATTTAAGAAAAAGAAAACCAAAATTATGAACAATAAAATGGCAAAAACACATATCTGTCAACAACTGAATCTAAAAATCAAACTAAGCAAACAAGAAGAACACAGACCTAGTCATGGATACAGAGAATGTCTTGATGATTGCGAGGAATGAGGAAGATGTAAGAGAATGGGTGAAGAACTGAGGGATTAGAAGTACAAATAGGTAGTTACAGACTAGTCATGGGAATGTAAAGTACAATATAGGAAATAGAATAGCCAAAGAACTTATACACATGACCCATGGACATGAATAATGGTGTGGGGATTGCCTGAGGGAGTGGTGGGTGCTGGGTAGAAGAGGCAAAGGGGGAAAAATCAGGACAGCTGTAATAGCATAATCAATAAAATATAATTAAAAAAAGAAAAAAGGAAAAACTAGTGCTGTCTGTATTCAATCTAAACAAAACTATTCCTTAAATTTAATTAGGGAAATCATATTAAAATTGGTATAATGATAAAACATTAATTACTTAATATTATTTTGCTTGTTTTACTTTAGTCTTCTGATATGATTTAACTACATAACAATTGGCTACTTTTGTTTCTAATATATTAGTCTAAAACAGTGATTTTCAATCAGTGTTCTATGCCTCAAGAATTTTTAAATTCAAAATATGCAATGCCTGTTTATTTAGTCAGGAACACTGCTCTTTTTTTTTTTTTTCCCACTTGCTTTGCATGTTGTCAGCTCTTTCTCCTGTGCGAGACAAACAACTGCAATAAACTTCACGTATATGCCTAACACCTCCATGGTGGTACAATTATAAGCAGTCCACATCGAGACCTTGGACTCATGGGTGTTCACAGCTTTTCTCCCATGGTTCTGGTGATGTAGCAACACTCTTGGAAAGAGGCAGCCTTGTTCTCTTTTCTCCCTTGAACTTTGTCTCACTTCTCCTCTCTGAAGGTGCCGCCCCAAGCTTCCAGGATAAGAGGCAGTGGCTTTTTACCCCCTTAGACTGTCAAATGGAAAGAATGGTAACAACCAACACAGTAACAGCAGTCTAGTGAGAATGAATCAAAATCATACCTTTTTTTTGTCAGATTGGCAAAAAATATAATACTGTTTTTGTGTATGCAGAATTTTAGCAGTTAGTTTATGTGTTCTGTGACATGAAAAAGATTGAAAACTGCTGGTAAAACAAAGTACAGAAATTTGAACTACTTAACTCAGTAACAATATATGAGTTAATATTTCCCCTTAATTTTCGTAAATCTATGATGAACATTTCTCAAATTTCTTTTGCTTGTTTTATGCCCTATATTAAAGAAAGCATGAGTAAAAGGAAATCTCACTCTTTTAATGACTTCCCTTTTTTGGTTGACTCCACCTCCATTATGAAGCCCTATGATTTTTTGTGGCAGTCAGAAGCGATTTAGAATTCTTAGTGGTCCTCTCTTTAGGAGGACATTTCTAGGGACTAATACAAGAAGATTCAGAAGTCATAAGACTGGAATGGACAAATTCAAAATGGTTCCACATGAAAACTCTGGATCTCCTGGTAAAAGCTTCTTATTTATTCTACATTTATTCTTTAACAGAGCATAGCATTATTCTGACAGTCATTGGATCTGATTTAATAGTAATTGGCATTAGGAAAGTAAGGAATGGGAAAAAGGCATTATGATTATATGCCAGTACCTCTTATCTGTCATAGATTCTAAATTGAAGATACACAATAAGGATTAGATTTGCCACCAATTTTGTAAAACTTGAAGTGAAATTAAGTAAAGAACTGAAATTAACTAAACTATATTGGGTATAAAGACAATACTTGTTAGAAAAGATAGAACATGTAGGAATGATTAATTGAAAGCTGACTGCCTAGAAGAAATTTAGAATAATACCCCTGAGTGTTGAAATCTACTTTATGATTTAAATGGATATGTTAAACTCATTTAGAATTTTTACTTTTTAAGCTTTTTCTATTGAAGTATGATATGTCACATGAAAGCATGAATTATAAGTGCAAATTTCAGTGACTCATTCCAAAGTGAGCGCTCCTTGGTTATGACAGTATTTGTTAAAATTTTTTATTTAATTTTATTCATTGACTTTAGAAAAGGGCGGGGGAAGGAGGGTAGAGAGAGAAAAAGACATCAATTTGTTGTTCCACTTATTTGTGCATTCATTGGCTGATTCTTGTATGTGTCCCAGCCAGAGATCAAATTCATAACTTTGGCATATTAAGACGACACGCTAACCAACTGAGCAACGCTGCCAAGGAGACAGTATTTTTACTTTTAAATTACTGTTAGGTTAGTGTAGAAAGAAGAAATGAAAGTGCTAGCAGGTTTAAAGCATTTTATGCTATATCTGGAGATAAGAGCCAATATTGGGGTTTTCCCAATGTAAACATTGTTACTCGATTCCATCAATGTATTGTTCGGCTATTATTTAGCAAGCACTGTGTCAGGTACCAGTGGAATTATGGCCAACGTGATGGAACTTACCACATAACAATGTGGATCAGGTAGGCTTGGATCGGAACACATTAGTTGAATATTGCTCTGTACTTTAAGGAAGAATTGCTCACTTCTAAGTTTAATTAATGCCTTTTCAATTTTGCAGGTTTTAAGGTTGATTTTGCAATTCTTTTTCTATCCCACAAGTTTTATAATTATGCACTTTTAAGATGTCTATTAACATGAACATTTTCAAAGCTGTTTCACTGAGACTATATGATTCTGGGTATGAATTTTTTTCTATCTGCTTTGCCATTTAGAAGGAAGGATTTTTCTATCTTGGTGTGACCTTCTTTGTTAATTGCAAACTTCTGAAACCATCTTCAAAGTCTCTTTGGAGAAGACTATACTTTTGCTCTCTTTCATTTTTTCTCAGACTTCAGAAGATGTTTCGTCCACGTGAGTCCCTTCATTATTGCTGTGATCTCAGTTCTTAGTGCCTCTCTGATCACTGGTTCTCCTGGTGAGTACTTTGTCAAATATACTTGCAATCTTAGCCTCCTCTGACAAGAATCATTGAAAAGCAAATAATTCTCCTGAAGGCCAATAGCATCTAAAAGCATACTTCATGGTTTCAAAGGATCAGATATTAAATGCACAAAATAAGAACCTAACCATAAGACACACACATATATGAACAAAATAGCATAGTTCCCCCCAAATAAAATAAACTTTCACAGAGAATAAATGCATTTTACCTAGAAATTTGAAATAATGTCTAACTGAAAAATAGGGAATAATGCAGAGGAGGAGAAACCTCAGAATTATTGGGATAAAAGAAAATTTTAGGAACACTTTAATAAATCCAAATGCCAAAACTTATCTAAAATTGTATTGATGGAGGCAAGATGTATATAACATGGGTTTCTCTGTTAGCTAAAATAATCATGAGGTGGTAGCTGAGACATTTGGAAGGAGCATATGGTAGAGGAAATTTATTTTGTGGTAGAAGATAATAGGAAATTATCTCAACTTCTGTTTAAGTAGATACATGTCTGTTATATTTCAAGTAGCATTTTTTAAAATATAGTATCTTTCATATATATGAAAAAAGTGTAAAATTCCTTGTAATTGGTCTGTTCATTCTTATCAGCTTTCTTTCTACTGATCTTGGGGTTTTAGAGAAACTTAAGTAGCTCATCCCTTTAAAATTTTGTACTGTCTAATTTAAATAATAAACCCTCCATGAAGATTACATAGCTTGATGTTATAAAGAATGTCAGCCATAAATTAAAGATATTATATAGTGTTGTGCTACTTAGCTCTACTGGTTTATGCCGTTGTTCAATCTGAAGCTTGTGATACTGATATTTATATTTGAATTCTTATGAAATAGCATTCTCCTATTGTATCATGAATGGGTCCAGGAATGTTTCTCAAACCTGGATTTGGAAAATAAATAGATAATATAAAGAATAGTAATTGTCTGCTTGCTCTTTGGATCTTGACCAATTGCTGCCTTTACCCAATGATGCAGGAGGAACAAACAAGGAGCTGAGATTAACAGATGGTGAAAACAAATGCAGTGGGAGAGTGGAGGTGAAAGTCCAGGAAGAGTGGGGAACTGTGTGTAACAATGGCTGGGACATGGATGAGGTCTCTGTGATCTGTAGGCAACTTGGATGCCCAACTGCTATCAAAGCCACTGGTTGGACTAATTCCAGTGCAGGCTCTGGACGCATTTGGATGGATCATGTTATTTGTAGAGGGAATGAATCAACTCTCTGGGACTGCAAACATGATGGATGGGGAAAACATAACTGCACTCACCAACAGGATGCTGGAGTAACCTGCTCAGGTAAGACCTGATAAGTCAAGCTCTTGACATGAAATGCTTTATGGGAAAAAAATACATAGATGCGTTACAAACAAAAAGGAGCCAGTTTTCTGTATGCAATCAAGTCCATATATAAAAGGACCCAATCCATTGTTAAAAGACCAGAAAACACATGACAAAGCTCATATTAAAAAATAAGTCAAAAGAGATTCTGAACACTTCTATCAATGAAGAAGTGACTGACTTCAATTTTACATGTAGTAATCCTACTATGACTTCCTACTTCTACATAAAAAATCATGTTATCTAAGTTAATTCCTTGTCTTCTTTCCCAGTGACATGCTGCTTTTATGCATTGACTCAAATTATTAACTTTTTATGTAGTAACTGATAATCAACTTAATCAAGAAATAAATATTCTGAGTATTAATTTTTCTTTATGGAAGAAGGAGGTATCACAAAGTGTCACTGCTTTTTCAGTGATTTTTTTGTTTTGTTTTGTTTTTTAATCTTCATCCATGGACATGCTCATTGATTTTAGAGAGGGGAAGAGAGGGAGAGAAAAATCAATGTAAAAGAGAAACATCAATCAGTTGCCTCCCGTATGCAACTGGGGACAGAACCCACAATCTTGGCAAGTGCCTTGACTGGGAATCAAACCCACAACCCTTTGGTTTAATGGGACAACTCTCCAACCAACTGAACAACACCAGCCAGGACTATGTGGTGGTTTAATTTATAAAATGTTTTATGTTTTATATCAGTTGCTCTGCAATAACTCATAAAATCATGTCAAACCTTTATATTGACAAATCCTAAGGTCAAGTTTCTTACCCAATTCAGATTCTTGGGCTTCTCATTTTTCCTTGCTTGCTTCATTGAACTTTATGTAGCCCTCTCATTTCCCAGCCTCAATGTTAGAGACTCTCTCTTCCATAGGACTGATTTCAGAAGGAACTAATTTCCACACAGGCATTGTGGTGTAATGGGAGCAACTAAGGACAGTATCTAGAAAAATGTGGAACTAAATTCTAGCTCAGCCCCTCATTAATGCTATTATTTTCAGCAAGTTGTTAAATCTTTCTAAACTTCAGTTTCTGAGTTTGATGATAGAACACATGAAAAGCTACTGATACACTGTCTGGTATGTAATAGGTGTTAAAAATTAAAGTTAGTTTTCTCATGGGTTACTGCTTCTCATTACCTTGACAATTCAGTTCTTTTCGCCTCCTCTCTTCCTCTCCTCTACCATCCTCCCCTTCTTCCCTCATTTTCCCCTTCACTTCTTCCTCCTCCTTCCCCCCTCCCTTTTCTCCTTCTTCTCTTTGTCTTTTATGTTAATGATTCAGTGAAAAGCAATAGTAACATGTGCATCAAACATCTACAGCAAAGTTAAAAGTCATAATAAATCTTGCCAAGCTTTCACCGTAATTATTGCTGTCTCTAGAGTTCTTTCTAAGCTAAGGAACAGCACATAGTACTTTTAACTCCTGTTTCTACTTTTTTTTAATGCCTCAGGATAAAGTTACTCAAACTTGCTTTTACAAATTTACACATATAAAACTCCAACTGGTGCATAATAATAGCGATGCATAACCACTCAATTTACTAGTTTCATGAGGTTACAGAGTCTGCATTTCTGAGATTCTCCACTCTGATTAATGCTTGAAGCCTCTGCCTCCTCAGAGATTTTATTATTATCATATGTACAGGGGCAATACAGCCTAACAGTAAGGAGAATACTTTCTGTTGAGTATTGTAGCAACTCTGGTGCTACACTGCCTTTTTTTTCCCCTCTACATCCTAAGTGTTTGATTGTGTGCCAATTATCTACCCTCAGTTTGCTTATCTGTAAAGTATCATTAACTTTTCATAATAAAAAATCTTGCTAAGTAGAGGTCTTTGCTTGGAGTTTAGAGCTTTTAAAATGAATTACTTTTTCAAAAGATGCCTTCTAAACATTTTGTTCAAAAATAAACTGTTTTTGTTTTTTATGTGTCCCCAAACTTAATTGCAAATCTCCTTTTCTTGGGTATTTTAGTCCTCACAGAAAATCTAACAGAAAGTGTATAGAGAATATTTTCTTAATGAAAAAATCTGTTTTTTGCTAAAAATGGTACCAGATACTTTGCAGATGGAAAAATAAAAACCTTTGGTTTAAACAAGAAATTGATAAGAAATGAATTATTTTAATTGATTTTGGTCCTCAGTTTTTAATAATTTGGTATACCACAGTGTGTTCTTATATTATGCATGCTTATGCACTTTATTTTTGCTTTTTCCTGTTTTCTAATTTCAAATTCAACTTCCGACAATTATTCATGCTCTGATTTTTTTACAAATAAAGAAAGATTAAAATAAAGATTTTAAATGTTCCATGAATTACCAGTTTGTCATTTTTACTATTTTGTATATGAACCAATTTTATTTTTTTCAAGTTTTTAAAAAATAAATACTTTGGGTCAATTTTATTATTTCTACCAAAAAAGAGTGTTCACTCTGTCCTAGTAAAGGAAGGAAATGAAATAAAACAGAAAGTAAATTTAATCTGTAAAACAGTTTTCTTGGTAAGTAGATGTAGATAAAAGTTATCATTGCTAGTTTGTATTTTAAAAGATTAAAATTCTCCAGTATGTGAGAGAACAGGAAGCATCTGAAAAGATGCACTGTTTTAAGGAAAGCATGAAATTCTAAGTGTCTTGAGGAATCTTATTCTCTAAAATTACTTCTGAGTGAATATCACTTTGAACTCTGTTGTTTTCTTTGTTCTAGATGGATCTGATTTGGAGATGAGGCTGATGAATGGAGGAAACCGGTGTTCAGGAAGAATAGAAGTCAAATTCCAAGGACAGTGGGGAACAGTGTGTGATGATAACTTCAACACAGATCATGCTTCTGTGGTTTGTAAACAACTTGAATGTGGAAGTGCAATCAGTTACTCTGGTTCAGCTAATTTTGGAGAAGGTTCTGGGCCAATCTGGTTTGATGATCTTGTATGCAATGGAAATGAGTCAGCTCTCTGGAACTGCAAACACCAAGGATGGGGAAAGCATAATTGTGATCATGCTGAGGATGCTGGAGTGATTTGCTTAGGTAAGGACTGATCTGGGTTCATTCTGTTCTTGAAGAGAGGGTGAAAAAACAAAAAGGAGGGTGTGGTAAGAGTCTGCTTCCTTGTCATTTTATCATTACCTAATCTCAGGTTCCAATTCTGATACTTTGGAGTTTTTAATGTGACTGAAATTAAAATAGATTAGGGGAGATGGATGAACAGTGAAATTGAGATTCAAGTTATGAGGATTGAAGGAGGTGTTTGAACCATTGTTTGATCCAGACCTGGCCAGGTAGCTCAGTTGGTTAGAGTGTCCTGCTGCTACACCACGACTGCTGCGATCCGTGTCAGGACGTATACAAGCATCAACCAATGAATGCATAATTACGTGGAACAACAAGTCGATCTTTCTCTCTCCTTCTCTCCCTTCCTTTCTTTCTAAAATCAATAAATAAAAAATTTAAAAAATATCCTCCCCCCCAAAAAAAATCAAGAAAGAAAGAAAAGAAAAGAAGAAATGGCTTAACTAGCAAATTTTGCTTTCTGGATGAATTTAAAAGCAAATCGCCACTCCCTTCCTCTCCCCACCCCACTCCTGCCCTTCTTATCATCCTCTTCCTACAAAATTCCTCCCTTCAGACACACTAACCACCCCTTCCCAAACTATTAGTTCAAATTTACAGAGTCAAATGATTAAACAAAATTGTTGTTTTCCTATTACAATTTCATTTATGCTATGACTATGGTGTAAGTATAATGAGGAGGCACTGTGTCTGTCTACAGACTTTAATATTTCATACTTGATCAGGGAACAGAGACAATGGATTTTTATACGTACAGAGATGATATTCTCCTTTCTTCATTTGAGTTCTTAGTTTGAAGAAGACCTAGTATTTCTTGAACCCCAAGGAACATTTAGGAAAATGTAGTTAGGGTAAAAATGTCCCTGTATTCACCAGCTGTCTCTTTTAGTGGGAGGGGAAGGAATGAAGGAAACTCAGTTCAAATTAATTTTAAAGTAAGATAACACTGACTTAAAAAACTGAAAAATTCAGGAAGTGTATGATGAATACAAGCACTTCAGCAGTGCCATGTGGGTTCTGGATTTTTTTTTTTTCTTGAATTGGTTTTCTTTTCCCTTGTTGAACAATGGTGCATCTTTTAGCTGAACCACAAAGAATGGAATTCCTGCAAAAAATATGGATTTTGTTAGCTGAAGAAAATAAAGAATTTGGGGTAGAAAAAACACTGTACCTTCCATTTTTCTTTACCCATCAAAGTGTTTCTAGGTCTCCAATCAGCTCACTTCTTCTCAATGTGTTTTATACATGCAGAAGAATCACAAGAAAAGAGTGCTGTGGCAACATAAGCTAAAACAACCAGAGGAAAATCCCAATTTATTTATTACAGGATATTACTCAGAATTAAGTTCTGTTCTTTGAGGAATACTGATTGGGAGAAGGTGAAAACAGGAAGGATTAGGTATCTTTTTCTCTTTCGTTTGTTTTAAAACTGAGGAAGTTGTCACAAAGGAGCCTGGCATATACCAACCAGGTAGTGTGGATAGGTAATAGAGTCAGAGGCAAAAGTGAGTGTTGCATATAGGGGAAAACTGGAGTGTATGGGTACCACCTAAACACATACAAGTATATATTTAAGAAGAAAAACAAACAGTTACAGCAAATATTCTGGTGGTCAAATAAGTATTTCATTAAATAAAATTCAGCCCTTAGACCTCCTGTTAGGAACTATTCCTACAGTGCATACTCTCAATACTGAAAAGTTCTGTCTTCTTGCCTGATGTATTCCTTCAACCATCTTTAATAATTTTTTTCTTTTTCTTAACATTTATTTAATTTGTATTCAAGTACTTTTTCATTTTATTTCTTAATTACAATTTATATTTAACATTATATTGCTTTAGTTTCAGGTCACCTTTAATAATTTTCAGTAGTAGTGTATTATTGTTTTCTCTATCTCTACTTATATCTCCCCTTTTCCTTAACTGATTTCAGATACAGGTATTTACGATCCCCTTATTCTTATTTCTTTTTTAAAATTTATTTTTCAATTACAGTTCTCATACAATATTATGTTAGTTTCAAGTGTACAATGTAGTAAGTAGACATTTATACAGCATACAAAGTAATTACCTTGACAAGTCTAGTATCCATTAGACACCACACATAGTTATAATAGTATTATTGATTATATTTCCTATGCTGCACTATATATTCTTGTGACTATTTTTATAACCGTCAATTTGTACTTCCTAATCCTTTTATCTTTTTCACTTAGGCCCCAAACCTGTCCCATCTGGCAACCATCATTTTTTTTCTGTATCTGAATTTGTCTCTGTTTTGTTGTTCATTTATTTTGTTTTTAGATTACACATATAGGTGAAATCATATGGTATTTGTCTATGTCTGATTTACTTCACTTAGCATGTACCCTCTAAGACCACCCATATTGTTGCAAATGGTAAGATTTTATTTTTTGACTGGGTAGTATTCCATTGTACATGTGTACCACATCTTATATATTCATCTAATCAATGGACACCAAAGTTTCTTACATACTTTGGCTATTGTAAATAATACTGCAACAAACATTGGGATATATATATATCTTTCTGAATTAATGTTTTCAATTTCTTTAGGTATAAAGCCAGAAGTGAAATTTCTAGGTCATATAGTAGTTCTACTTTTAATTTTTGAGGAACTTCTTTACTCTTTCCATAGTGGTTATACCAATTTACAATACCACCAACAGTGCAAAAGGATTTCCTTTTCTCCACATCATCACCAACATTTGTTTGTATATTTATTGATGATAGCCATTCTGACAGGCATGAAGGGATATCTTATCATGGTTTTGATTTGCATTTCAATCTTCTTTTCTACTGAGATTTATTTTGTGACCTAACCTGTGGTATATCCTGAAAAATGTCCCATGTGCACTTGAAAAGAATATATATTCTTCCGCTTTTGAGTAAAATGTCCCAAAACTAGCAATTAAGTTTATCTGGTATAATGTGTCACTTAAGGCCATTGTTTCCTTGTTGATTATCAGTTTGGAAGATCTATCCATTGATACTGATGAAGTGTTAAATCGCTTACTATTATTGTATTACTGTTGATCTCTCCCTTTATGTCCATCAATATTTTGTTTATATATAGAGGTGCTCCTACCTTGGATGCATAGATGTTTACAAGAGATAGTATCCCCTTGTTGGATTGATTCCTTTATTATTATGAAATGCACTTCTTTGTCTATTTTTATAGCTCTTGTTTTAAAGTCTGTTTGGTCTGATATAAATACTGTTACCCCAGATTTTTTTTTTTTCATTTCCATTTCCATGAAATATCTTTTCTATTCCTTTATTTTAAATCTGTGCATGTCTTTCAATCTGAAGTGGGTCTCTTATAGACAGCGTACATACAGGTCTTATTTTCTGATTCATTTTCTCACCCTATGGCTTTTAGTCCATTTACATCTAAAGTAATTACAGATAAGTATGTAGTCATTGCCATTTTATTAATGATTTTCTGATTGTTTTCAGAGTTCTCAGTTCCTTATTACCTCAGTCACATCAACATATAGTTGATGACTTTCTATAGTGTTATGTTTCGATTTGTTTCTCCTTAGTTTTTGTATATTTTAATAGGTTTTTGGGTTTTGGTTGCCATTTTCTTCATATATACCAAGCAATGTTTACAGCAGTCTATTTTAAATTAATGTTTGCTTAAATTCAGACACATTCTAAAATCACTGTTTTTACTCACCCTCCTACATTTTTGTTTTTGTCATTATATTTTACTCCTTTTATTTGTGTGTTGGTGTGTCTTTTTGTTTTTATTGTTGTAATTACAATGGGTGTGTTACTTCAAAAGCTTTTTCGTTGGGACTCCTATGGTGGCCAAGGTCATCTGCCACTTGTGCCTTTCTTAGAACCTCTTGGTAAAACATACAAAATGATCTGTTCCTTAGTTGCCACATGTGCTGGGCTTGGGAGTGTTTGGGAGGGGCACAAACCAGGGCCAGCTGCTGCTTGTGCCAGGCTTGTGACCCCTTAGTTGAAGTTACAATATAGGCCAAGATTGGCCACCACTTACGCCAGGCTTGGGGCCCCCTGACAGGAGTCACAGTGCAGGCTGAGACCATTCACCACTTGTGCTAGGCTTGGTACCATTTAGCAAGCTGAGGTTGAGTTGACTACAACTACTGTCTGTTTGGGATCTGTGGACCTTTAAGAGATTTGGGGAAAGTCTGCACTGAGTGCCCAGGCAGTCCACTTGTTTGCAGGAGTCATTGGAAAAGGCCCAGGCTAGAAGAGTGAGTTGGGAGGGGGGCAGGTCTCAGGGAATCACCAGGGAGCAGAATAGTGTTAGCCAGATTATTGGAGAATGCAGATTTGATGCCCACCTGCATCTGGCTGGCAGAGTGGAAGAGAGTGCAACAAAGCAGCATACTTTCCCAGAGAGAGTTGCCCCAACCTCTGCCCCTCTTGTCCATGTAAAATTCAACTCAGTTTCTCCCCAAACTCCCCTGGAGCTTTTCAAGATGTTCCCTTGCACTGGAGCTTAGAGTTAGTGAGCTTGTGAGTGACTGAGTCAGTTCATAGACCTATTTGGACCAGCAGTGCTTTAGTCTCTGGAAGCTCATTGTCTTTCTTGGATACAATTCCCTCTAGTTTTCACAGTAAGATGTTGTGGGGGTTCCTTTTCCCTCAGTTGGGGAGCACAGAATGGGGCTTGGACCCTTGACTCCTCAGGGGGACCTCTGCAGCCAAAATATCCCTCTGATTCTTAGTTGCCACACTGTGAGTGTGGGACATGCCCATTTTTCATCTCCACGCCTCCCATCAGTCTTCACACAGCTTTTCCTTTATGTCCTTGGTTATAGGACTTCTATTCAACTAGTCTTCAGGTGTTTCTCAATGACGGTTGTTCTCTAATTTAGTTGTAATTTTGATGTGGTCATAGGAAGAGGTGAGCACAGAGTTTACCTACTCTGCCATCTTGACCAGAGGTTTCTTATTGTTTCTTTGTCACTGATTTGTTTTGTGTACCTTTTACAGATGGAACAGATCTGGGCCTGAGAGTGGTAGATGGAGTCAATCAATGTTCAGGAAGATTAGAAGTGAAATTCCAAGGAGAATGGGGGACCGTGTGTGATGATGCCTGGGATAGCAATGATGCTGCTGTGGCATGCGCGCAACTTGGATGCCCAACTGCCGTCACTGCTATTGGTCGAGTTAATGCCAGTGAGGGAACTGGACACATTTGGCTTGACAGTGTTTCCTGCCTTGGACACGAATCTGCTATTTGGCAGTGTAGACATCACGAATGGGGAAGGCATTATTGCAATCATAATGAAGATGCTGGTGTCACATGTTCTGGTAAGTTAAAACAAAACAAAAACAGAGAAGGAAGGACTTGTATTTTTTAGGAGTAAGAATAGGTATGAGATGAGAGAGACAGAAATATCTAATAATTTTTTTTGTTGGGAATTCTTTTACAGTTGTGATGAGTCTTTAACACATTTCCTTTTTTTTCATTAAAATAGTTTATTTTAAACAAAAATTTTCAAGCACAAAACTGCTCAGGCATTACAATGATTTCAGTTATCTCTGAATCTACTTATACACATTTCTTTATCTGACTAGTTTAGAGGGTTCTCTGACTCAATTTTCTGTAATAATTATCCTAACTGCTATTAGGTCGTAAGTCTACCTAGGGCTCTGAGACACAAAATGATAATGCTCTTTTAAAAAAATATCTGTCTTATTCATATTTTTCTGCCATTGACAATTTGTGTTAAAACTTGAAACTATAATCCCATTTCTAAGCAAATTTATGATCAATGCCAGCTGTCAGAAAAGCCATGAGATAGTTAAGCCATAATTTCCAGTGTCTTATATCTGGGAAGGAGCAAGATTTTTAAAAATCCTTAGGGAGTTAACTTCCACATATATCTATAGCCTAAGTTTTTGTTTCTTTTGCAGATGGATCAGATCTGGATCTGAGACTTGTAGGAGGAGGCAGCCGCTGTGCTGGGATGGTAGAGGTGGAAATTCAGAAACTAGTAGGGAAAGTGTGTGACAGATTCTGGGGAATGAAAGAATCTGATGTGGTTTGCAGACAGCTGGGATGTGGATCTGCACTCAAAACATCCTACCAAGTATATTCCAAAATTAAGCCATCAAACATGTGGCTGTTTGTAAGCAGCTGTAAGGGAAATGAAACTTCTCTTTGGAACTGCAAGAATTGGCAATGGGGTGGACTTTCCTGTGATCATTATGAAGAAGCCAAAGTTACCTGCTCAGGTAAGACTTTTAAATGTCTTAAGAAGTTTGATTTCAGGTTGGGAAGTACATATAAGTAGAGAGAAAAGTTTCTGCACAGAATCATGAAAAATCATGGTGTGCTCAGGCACCTTTAGGCTGGGGTATCAGGTATGATTGATAGAGCAATAGATATTAGGGCTTTTAAGGTAATATCATAGAATACTTTAAAGTATGCTAACTTATTAGTATTGGTCATTTCTCCTTAACTTTAATAGATGTGTGATATAGGGTAATCTATTAAAGCTCTGTGTGCTGCAATTTCCTCAAAAGAAAAATAGTGGTAACAAAAACACCTACCTCAGAGGAATTATACATCAATTGATTAATAAATGATTATGATTATTATTAGTAGCATTAGTATTATCTATCTTCACTGACAGACTAAACTCTATAATAGAATTTTAAACTCACCTACATGCCTAAAGCATTGCAGGTGCTTAGTAATATCTGTTGATAAGATAAATTATTGTATAAATAGTAAAGAAACATTGAATTATCTTGAAGACAAAAAGATATGTGAAAATATTTGAAATGTAATTAATATAGTTGGGATCATGACATAGATTTATTAGAAGAGAACTTAGAAGCAAAGAAACTATTGCAAGGGACTATGTCACATATGATAATAAATTATAGTAAAGCAATAGCAACAATATGCAGAGGAAATATGCTGGAGGACTGACAGAGACTGTTGACTTTCTACATGTGTAGGGTTATTGTGAGAGTCAAGATTCTAGGCTCTACAATATACTGCCTACCTTCAAATCCCAGCTTTTCTCAACTCACTGTATAAACTTAGCAAATTGCTACAACTCTGTTTATTTTCTTATCTGCAAAATTGGAATGATATTAATAATTATCCCCTAAGGCAATTGTAAAAATAAGGTAATGTTTCTTAAATACTTAACAAAATGCATAAAAATAGGTACTCAATGTTCTTTATTATCATTATTCTATTTAAGGTGGATGAAGAAGTGGTTTAATTTCAGATCATTCTAATTTAGTCTAGATATCATTAGTTGAATAAAGAATGCAGTGGGCATGTCAATGCATAATTTATTCAATTTTGATTACCCTGAGTTCTAGATGTCCAAGCAAATATGTTTATGAATGCAAATTTAAAGAGGAAAGTATAGATGAAAACATTTATTGGCAGTTAAGAGACGTCCATTGATAAAATAGTTCAGTGTAGAACCTTCAATCAGGGAATTCATGAATAATTCTGTCAGGCAGAAAGAAGGAGAAATAAGTGACTCATGTATCAAATGCAACAAATATCAAAGGGAAAAAAGAGGTGTAATGTATATTTGGAAAACAGGAAGTATATTGTAAATCTTTCCATAAAACTATTCAAAAATGTTGGAGCCGACCCCAGATTACAGTAGGTAGAGGATTGAGCACAGAGCTAAAAGATAGTGTCTACACATTATCTGTGGTTTCCAATGTTATGAACAAAGTAAGGAAAATACAGAAAGGAAAAAGTTAGCATGTCTCCATGAGTAATTGGCTCTAGGAGGCAGAGTTTCAAAATTCTCTCAGATGAATTGGTCTAATGAGGAATGGGGAAGTCTAGATTTTGCTATGCTCAATTCTAGGCAGAAAAGCCAGGAGGGATGAGGCGGGGGGAAAATCACTCAACGCCATGGCCTCTCTTTCTCACTCTTCACTCCTTTCCTCACTTCCACCATGAAGGAAAACCTTGGAATTATGTTACCTCTCACTGAAATACTATTTTTCAGCCCACAGGGAACCCAGACTGGTTGGAGGAGATATCCCCTGCTCTGGTCGTGTGGAAGTAAAACATGGTGACACGTGGGGCTCTGTCTGTGACTCCGACTTCTCTCTGGAAGCTGCCAATGTGCTGTGCAGAGAGTTACAATGTGGCACAGTTATCTCCATTCTAGGGGGAGCTTACTTTGGACAAGGAAATGGACAGATCTGGACTGAAGAATTCCTGTGTGAGGGGCATGAGTCCCATCTTTCACTCTGCCCAGTAGCACCCCGCCCAGATGGGATTTGTAGCCACAGCAGAGATGTTGGAGTAGTCTGCTCAAGTAAGACACAAAGGACATGTTCAATTTGTTCCCTTACCTTGAAGAAAGTAGGGTTAGAAAATCACAGACATCTTTTTAAAGCCCCGTTTCCTTCCAGGATACACAGAAATCCGCTTGGTGAATGGCAAATCCCAATGTGAAGGAAGAGTGGAACTCAAGGTTCTAGACACCTGGGGATCCCTCTGCAACTCTCACTGGGACATGGAGGATGCCCACGTTTTGTGCCAGCAGCTTAAATGTGGAGTTGCTCTTCGTATACCAGAAGGAGCACATTTTGGGAAAGGAAATGGTCAAGTCTGGAGGCACATGTTTCATTGCAGTGGAACGGAGCAACACATGGGAGATTGCCCTGTAACTGCCTTGGGTGCATCTCTGTGTTCATCAGGGCAAGTAGCCTCTGTCATTTGTTCAGGTAAGAGGATCAAGGGCAGCCAATGATAAGCCTCTGCCATGGTGGTGTGCCTTCAGAGCTGGTGCACGTATAGGGATGAAGAACAAAAGTAAAAGGGAAAGATCCAGTGTGAGGGATCATGAGAAATGTACTGAAGTGTTAACCTCATTCATTTTTTCAAATAAAGTGTAAACTTAATTTTCATGGACCTCGTCTTTATCTAGTGATTACCATGTGCCAGCCCTTCTCAAAGCACCTTGATGAATCCCCAGCCTGGTTAATCCATCCCCCTTCCTTTTTCACTAAAACTGTGTTTGCTCTCATCTCATTTATCTAATGCATCATCTAGCCTCCCTTCCTCACCTTACTTGTATGACTGAACACTTTGATGTTTGCAGGAAACCAGAGTCAGACACTATCTCCATGTAATTCATCATCTTTCGACCCAACAAGCTTTACCATTTCAGAAGAAAGTGATGTTGCCTGTATAGGTGAGAATCAATGATCAGTTTATAAAAATGGTCTCAATCCTTAGGAATGCATTTTATTAATATTTTACTTTCTCTTTTCAGCAAGTGGTCAACTTCGCCTAGTAAATGGAGGTGGTCGCTGTGCTGGGAGAATAGAGGTCTATCATGAGGGCTCCTGGGGGACTATCTGTGATGACAACTGGGGCCTGAGAGATGCCCATGTGGTGTGCAGACAGCTGGGCTGTGGAGAGGCTATTAATGCCACTGGTTCTGCTTATTTTGGGGAAGGAACAGGGCCCATCCTGCTGGACGAGGTAAACTGTAATGGAAAAGAAGCTCGTATTTGGCAATGCCCTTCACATGGCTGGGGACGGCACAATTGCAGGCATAAAGAAGATGCAGGAGTTATTTGCTCAGGTAAGGTCTGCATATAACTTCTGGTCACAATTATGAATGAAAGGACTAAGGTGAGACAAAGGGTAGTGGGAGATATTAATCTGTGAGAATACCCTGCAAAGTAGGTACAAAGGAAACTATTGTGAGAGTCAGGGTCCCAGAAGTATAGATTTTATTAATTAGTGCTTTCTCCTGAGCAAGGTAGTATAAAGCCAGGAGAAAAATTCAGAAATGAGCTTTCATATCACAAAAATGACAAACTAATAATGAGAAGTTCTTTTATAAGTATATGTGGAGCTAAATATTGGGTAAGGATTCAGGGCACCACTTGATAATCACTGTATTAATAAAGAAGTAGATTTAAAGGGACCAGAAGAAAGAAATCAGCATTACATTTTACAGGGAAAAAGAAAATTACCATTCCCAAGTACATCTTTATGACAGATAATGAGGAACTTTTTGTCATGGGAGCAAAAATTATAAGAGACCACTGGTCTTGTTTTGTATACATGGCAAGCTTTAGAAACTGTTGTGAAGTAGAAAAATGTACTCAGTTGTTATATATTGGGAAAAACAGTAAAATGATTTGGTAACTTAGGGAAATAAAATATTATATATGTCAGGAGTGTTTTGGATATCATTTACATTTAATGGCACAAATTTGGGAGAGAACATATGCAGCAAAACTGTGACCTGTCACAAAGAAAAATATTTTATTTTAAGGTAAAGCACACAAAATCTTGGTTTTAGTGTCTTAATGTTTCAGTAAACTTTAACTGTCAAGGACAGTTGTAAAAAAAAATGAATGGAAAAACACTCCTGAGGATAAAATATAGTAACTTAGGGAGAAAAATCCAAACTATGTAATTAATAAAGGGCTTTGGGCCTTTTACTGAGATCTAGGAATCAACAGAATCATTGGTAGCCCTGAGTATAAAACACAAGACTAGAAAAGCAGAAGGTATAGAACAAATATTATATTTTACTAAAATCTACTAAATCATCCAGAAGTTACTACAGGATTATTACTAATTGACATAGCATACCTATTTTTGAAGTCATTCTCTCATTAGAATAAAGGGAGGCAAAATTGTGAATTGTCAGAGAATATGTGAAACTACTAACTCCGTATTTCACCCCAGAGTTCATGTCTCTGAGACTGACCAGTGAAACCAGCACAGAGACCTGTGAGGGACGTCTGGAACTCTTTTACAATGGAGCTTGGGGCAGCATTGGCAAGAATAACATGTCTTCAACCACCGTGGGGGTGATATGCAGACAGATGGGCTGTGCAGACAAAGGGAACATCATCCCTGCATCTGTAGCCAAAACAACATCCAGCCACATGTGGGTGGACAATGTTCAGTGTCCAAAAGGACCTGACAAATTATGGAAGTGCCCATCATCGCCATGGCAGCGGAGACTGGCAAGCCCCTCAGAGGAGACCTGGATCACATGTGCCAGTGAGTATTTTGTTTTGCCTATATGAAAATTCCATTCTGTGACTCTATTAACATCTTTTGATCTCCTTAAGTAGGAATGAGTAAACCCTAGTTAAAACCTATTCTACCTGGATTGTATAATTGGTTTTATTTATTTTGACCTATAGATTTCCGAAATCAGAGATCATTTTTCAAAAAAATATTTATACTCCCCATGCTATAAATGTAAACAAATGAAGACAGTGTGTGGGTGGTTCAGTATTTGACTATTGAATGGTCTACTTTACTTTTCCAATTTTTCTTTCAAATATTATCTTGCTATACTAATGTAAAGAGAGAAGCAGTCATAAAAATCAAATCTAAAGTATTTCCACATTCTCCATGTTCTTAAAGTGGAAGATTTTTATGTACCTGGCAATTTTCCAAATTCTTTTATATTTGAGAAAACTTAACATGATGCAATGTTAACATTATTCATTTGACATTTCCTGAGTCACACTAATGTCCTTATCTCCAATATGAAATATTTTGCTGAAAGGACATGTACTTTTGTGAAAAAAAAATTTTGTTGAGTAATTTTAAATGCACATTAAATAGTAAAATTGTAAAATAGAGTTTTAAAAAGAGTTTCAAATATCTCTCTTCCCCTGTGACCTCTTAGGAGTTTTTGTCTTCTCAGAAATGACCTAAGGGATCTCTGATTTTTCAGACAAGATAAGACTTCAAGAAGGAAACACTACTTGCTCTGGACGTGTGGAGGTCTGGCACGGAGGTTCCTGGGGAACAGTGTGTGACGACTCCTGGGACCTTAACAATGCGCAGGTGGTGTGTCGACAACTGGGTTGTGGCTCAGCTTTGAAGGCACTAAAAGAGGCAGCGTTTGGTCAAGGGACTGGGCCCATATGGCTCAATGAAGTGAAGTGCAAAGGAGATGAATCTTCCTTGTGGGATTGTCTTGCCAAACCCTGGGGGCACAGTGACTGTGGACACAAAGAAGATGCTGCTGTGATATGCTCAGGTAAGCGGTAGTATATTGGATTAAGCTTAGAATCTCAGGCAGCAAAGAAAGGGGGGCAGTCAAGTGCATTGTGTAAAGACTGGGTATGTCAACATAGGGATCTAGTGGGGAGATAATCAAGATGTTTCAGTTGAAGAAATGATGAAAATATTAGTTGTTATATATTACCCTTCACCAAGGAAAAGAATATTACTTATCTGTATCCCTGTGCAGAGGGGAAAAAAAAAAAAGAGAGAAAGATTAAGTTTAGGTGGGAACAAGTAGTTTCCTTGGTTGAGAGGTACTAGAGGTTTACATAGAAAATGAAAAAATTACAAATTTTTTTTCAGTAAAATCTGTATTTCTTAATCCAGGAAGTAGCATCAGCACCCATCCAAATCTCCCGTTTGAATTTCTTCCTTTACTTCCCATCTATCACCTCCCCCAGTCAGTCTCCAAGTCCTATACATTCTTCTCTTTTAAGTTAAATTTATTGGTAATAACATTATGTAAGTTTCAAGTGTACAGAAATAGAAGTATTTGTTCTATATACGGCACTTAGAATTAAGTCTCCTTCTTCTCTTTTTCTTCTATAGGCGGAGAACCACCAAAAGCTTCAGGTATATCATGGGGTTTATGAGCATGGGACCAATTATCTGCATTATTTGGAATCCTTATTAACAGACTTTAGATCAGAAGAAGTTCTGAAGATATGAAATTTACTTCAACAATTCTGAGTCAGAACTAAGAGAGGGATAGTAATTAGGGACCCAGTTCTTTTAGCTATGACATCATTTCTTGTGATATTTACTTGTGCTTAGGTCACACGCTCCTTGTTGCATTTGGAGTCCTTGGGGTCATTGTGATGACTGGTCTCATCGTGTTCCTCTTGTGGACTAAGAAGCGAAGACAGCTACAGCAACTTACAGGTCTGAGCCAAATTATGGTCTCTCTAATGTTTTATGAGATAAGAATGTTCTTGGGATTAAAAAAAAAAAAACTAGATTCAAGTATCAAATGGCCAGAAAGAGGCTTAAGCAGTTTCTCAAAAAGGGGGGAAGGTTTCAGAAATAAAAAAGGATTTTGGTTGTATTGATGACTTTTGTGCTTCATCTATGTATTTGATTGTGACATTATAGAATTGATAATTTAGAATAAGTGTGCTTATATGGTTTAAGGTGAATCCTTTATTGCCTATTTATTTGCTCTTACTATATACGTATTACTGATTTTACTTTTCTGTCAAGCAATGTGCCTAGGATCTGATGATTCAGTCATGGATAATCAAGTGTTTGTTTGTTTTTTGTCTTAATAGAATTTCAAATCTAGTGGAAGAGATATATATATGTAAACTAATAAATTTCAATGTAGTATTATACATTCTTATATATAAGGAAAAAAGTGACACAGAGAAGAAAATGACTAACAAAGGAAAGGGGAGTATCAGAGGCTTCTAGGAGGCACTTAAGGCAAATTTTGAAGATAACAGTTCAAAGAGCTGGGTAGGGTCCATTATAGGGAAAGAGAAAGGTATGTACAAGTGAAGAAAAGCTTAAAGAATGCCACATTTGCTCTTTTAGGGGTAAGTAAAAGTTGAGCTCAAGGAGAGAAGCTGCTGTTAAGGCTGGAGAAGAGAAGAGATCATGAAGTTCTATATTCCATAAGAAGATGAATAGTCATTAAGAATATTACGTAGGGAAATGCAATAATCAGGCAGCCTTCTGGAAAGTTCTATTTGACAACAGGAAGTATGAAGGATTGAAGGAGGACCACATTATTGATAAGGGTAGCATCTTGAAATAGTTGGAATGAAAAATGAAAAAGACTTTGTAATGAGAATGGAGGAGAGATAGATTTTAGATTTTAGAAAAAGCTCCAATGAATTAAAAAAAAACTGCTGGCTGCCTTTAGGGAAGAAGCTGGATTGTTCTGTGATGGCAATAGGTGTAGCTTGGTAGTGGAATGGGATGGAAATGAGACAAGGGTATGAATGAAGCCTGGGTATTTTGTACTGCTAGGAAAAAGCACAGAGAAGGAGAGAAAGCTTTATTATTTTTTTGCTGGTCTCTAATCTAGGATGTCTCGCATCAGTTTCTTTGAGAGGAGAGAATTTTTTCCATGGAGTTCAATACCGGGAGATGAATTCTGGCCTAAAAGCAGATGATCGGGACCAGCTGAACTCCCCAGGTCTGTGGGTTCTTTATAGGGCTATATAACTTTGGGATTTAGACCAGTAGCTGCAGTTGAGGCTAAAGCATTCTACTTGGTATAGCAGTGGAAAGAAATCTCAAACATGTAATAATAGGAAGCTTATGATGCATATAAGGAAGAAGGCAGGCATGAACTGCAAGTAATTCTTAGAGAACATAAAATTTGAAATCATGGAGAGACCTCTGGCTAAGAAGTCTATATTTCTGATAGAGGTACAAAGAACCATATAGTAGAATATTAGGACTTGGGCCTCATTTTATTAAAGCACAAATTAATCTTCTAAATGTTGTTTAATTTTTCATACATCTCTTTAATGGTTTCTTCCATTCCCTCTCCTATTACTTCCCTTTCTCTAACTTGATAATTATCATATTTTCCCTAAAAATCTAAAAGCTTTAACTTTTTATATCTTTATCCATCAGAAACCATCACTATTGACAGAACTAGCCTTATTTCCCATTATATAATGCTTCTGTCTTTGTCCTCTGACTTCTATTTAGCACTGGTGCACTAATTCTACTTCTGGGAAGCATATTTTGCCGGTTTGGAAAAAAAAATTCCAATATCTTCTTACTCCAAGAAGGCTCAATGTCTTCTCAATAGTCCTTACCCTGTGACAGGGCATGCTTCACTTCTTCAGCCCAAGGGATTTGTATCTGCTGCAACTATGTCAGGAACATATTCAAGGCATTAGAAAGACTTTCTGTGCCCCTAAATCACACTTATTTGCCTTCCTAATTGTAGACGGTGTTTTTAAATGTTCAAAGAGCTTCTAAGGCACTTGAGGGAAGGTCTGACTTATCTCCTAGTAATTGTTGTTTTTCTTTCAGAAAATTTCAATGAGTCAGATGGTGTTAATGCAGATGGACTAATTTCCACATCCAAATCTCTTCCTATTTCAGGAAGAGATTTAGGGGACCATTCTGAAGTACACTGAAAAAGGAAATAAGAATCATAACCCAGTGAGGTGAGTGAGGAAAATTTATTCATCATCGTTTTAAATAAGTACATTTCTTTGGAAAATTGAGAATTCCTCTAGTATTAGAAAAATGTATATACACATATATTTCCATATATATGATTATATGTTTATGTATGTACATCCATATGTAGAATATATAATGGATTTTTATTACTATGACTTGTTCACCTTTCAGTTACATATATATTCTAAGCCATGACAATGGTACATTATGGAGCTAAGAAGAAACTGGGTAAAAAAAAATGGGAATAAATCTTTTACAGATATTAATGGGGTCATTTCAGGAAAAAAATAAGACGTATTTATGGTTGTATAATGTTATGGTAAGTATAAGATGCTATAGGAATATAGAAAGTTTGCTTAAGAAAGTTTGGGGAGATTGTAAAGAAGATGTAATGTTCAAGTTAAACATGAGATGTCTGAAAGACTATTTTAGGGCAAGGACAAAATATGTACAAAATATGAAGGCATAAAAGAGAAGCACACTTTTGGGAAACATGTAAGTTTTTTATTCAAAAACATATATTGAACATATTTATGAAGACAAGTGGAATCCTGTGCATTGAAGATACAAAAATTAAAGAGACAAAGACAAGACTGTTTAATGAAATAAGTAGGAGTACAAAGAGCTTATGTGAAGAGAGGGGAAGTGATGAGAACCTAAGATGAAATGACTGTACAGAACCCTATAATGAATGGTCTCATTGGCTAATTTTATTTTAGGGGCTCTTGAGAGGGTGGGCTTTGAAAGATTAAGCTGGGACAAGACATGATAAGATTTGCATTTTACAATTTGCTTTTCTTTTCTAAAGTATGTAGTTTTTAAAATTTCATTTTAATTTATTTTCTCAAATACATTTGTCTCTGCCTCCCCCCCACCACTTTCCCTTGCCCCCTCCCTCCTTCCCTCCCTCAGCTCTTCCCCTTTGGTTTTGTCCATGAGTCCTTGCTATATGTTCCTTGACTTTCCCCTTCCCTTCCCTTTCCCCGCCCCCCCTTCCCTCTTGTCTCTGTTGATTTCTTTTCCTTTCAGTGTTGCTGGTCTTTTATTGATTATGCTCTTACATAATTTTTTTCTCCCCTTTATTCCCCTCTGCCCTGCACCTCCCACCCTCCTGCATTGCCCCCGTTGCCTTAGTTGCCCCCGTTGCCCATGTCCATGGGTTGTATATATAAAGTATTTGGCTTCTCCATTTCCAATATCCCCTGTTTATTTTGTGCCTACAATTATGCTTCTTATTCCCTGTACCTTTTGTCCCATTCTCTCGCCTCCCTCTCCCCACTGATAACCCTCCATGTGATCTCCATTTATTCTGTTCCTGTTCTAGTTGTTTGCTTAGTTTTTTAGTTTCTTTTTAGCTTCAGTTGTTGACAGTTGTTAGTTTGTTGTCATTTTACTCTTCATAGTTTTTGATCTTCTTCTTTTTCTTAGATAAATCCCTTTAACATTTCCTATAATAAGGGCTTGGTGATGATGAACTCCTTTAACTTTACCTTGTCTGGGAAGCACTTTATCTGCCCTTCCATTCTAAAGGATGGCTTTGCTGGATAGAGTAATCTTGGGTGTAGGTCCTTGGCTTTCATGGCTTTGAATACTTCTTTCCAGCCTCTTCTTCCCTGTAAAGTTTCTTTTAAGAAATCAGCCGATAGTCTTATGGAGACACCTTTGTAGGCAACTCTATCCTTTCCTTTTGATGCTTTTAGGATTCTATCTTTATCTTTAATTTTGGGTAATGTAATTATGATGCACCTTGGTGTGTGTCTCCTTGGATTGAATTTCTTAGGGACTTTCTGAGCTTCCTGGACTTCCTGGAAGTCTGTTTCCTTCACCAGATTGGGAAAATTTTCCTTCATTATTTTTTCAAATAAATTTTCAATTTCTTACTCTTCCTCTTCTCTTTCCAGCACCTATGTGATTCATATGCTGGAACGTTTAAAATTGTCCCAGAGGTTCCTAAGCCTCTCCTCATTTTTTTGAATTCTTGTTTCCTCTTTCTGTTCCAGCTGAATGTTTATTTTTTCCTTCTGTTCCTAATTGTTGATTTGAGTCCCTGTTTCCTTCCCTTCACTGTTGGTTCCCTGTACATTTTCCTTTATTTCACTTTGTATAGCCTTCATTTCTTCCTTCATTTTGTGACCAATCTCAATCAATTCTGTGAGCATCCTGATTACCACTGTTTTGAACTCAGCATCTGATAGGTTAGCTATCTCTTCATCACTTAGTTATATTTTTTATGGAGTTTTGATCTGTTCTTTCATTTGGACCATATTTTTTTTGTCTTTGCACAACTGATAAATTATAAGAGGTGGAGCCTTCGGTATTCACCAAGGTGGGACAAATCACTTTATTGTGGCACTGTCTATGGGGGAGGGGTCAGAGAGTGAACAATGCTGCTTGCTCAGCTCTTGCCCCACTTTCCCTGTGAGACTGGGAGTTTCTCCTGCTGCCACATCCTGTACAGGTTTTTACAGCCAGAGATTTTGTCTTTAGTTTCCCATGTTGAAACCCTGGTTTTCACAGTGTGTCTTGCTCCCCATTCGTTCCTCCCAGCTCATCCACCATGAATGTGGGACAGCCAGGTCAGCCAGTCCTTGCCTTGCCTGTTCATCCTCTCTGCCCCTCCTGCCAGTCTGGATGAATGTTTCCTTAACTTCTTGTTTGTCGGACTGCCATGCAGTTTGATTTTCTGGCACTTCTGGTTGTTTTTTGTTTTTAAGTTGGTTGTTATCTTTTTGTTGGTTGTGTGAGGAAGCAAAGCATTTCTACTTATGCCTCCATCTTAGCTGGATGTATAATTTGCTTTTATGAGGAAAGTATAATAACAAAAAAATAAACAAAGCAAGAAATTTGCTCAGTTATACTTCAAAAAAAGGTGATGAAATGAGTGGGTGCATTTTCTATTTTTTTTATACAATATAACAAAAAACAATATAACAATATTAAAAAGACTATACATTTAGAAATGATACATTACAAAAGGAAGAGTTTTTGTAGAAATATTATATATGACATATAAGAAATACAGACTGAGGCAAAAAATAAAAGTTGGAACTCTTAAAAATATATAAATGTAAAGTGTGAATATTGTATATAGACACAGAGAACACTTGCAACTTGTATATTTCATGGAAAGAGTAAATATTTGTATGTAAATTTTATATATACATATATCTTAGCAATTGTTAAGACAAAAACAATATCTAATGGATAATTGGGGAAGCTATGAAAAGAAAACTCATAAAAAGTGAATTTCATCCCTGACAGTTGTGTCTCAGTTGGTTGGGGTCAACCCGCAAAGTGAAAGGTTGCCAGTTCAATTCCTGTCAGGGCACATATGCTTGGGTTATAGATTTGGTCCCAGGTTGGGGCACATGTGAGAAGCAATCATTTAATGTTTCTCCCATTGATATTTGTCACCCTTTCTTTTTCCCTCCCTTCTTCTCTCTCTAAAAATAAATAAATATAATTTTTAAAAAATGAATTTCAAATGACAAATCGACATATTAAAATGCTCAAATTCACCAGTGTGTCTGGGCAATTCAAATTTATGACTAATGATTATATGTCACTTTATATAAATAGATTTTTGTGAATTTCACCTGAAAGGCAAAGGAAGGAAAGGCAAAAATAAATGAATGGGACTATAACAAGCTAAAAAGCTTCTGCACAGCAAAAGAAACCACCAACAAAACAAAAAGGGCAGCCAACTGAATGGAAGATGATATTTGCAAACAACAGCTCTGACATAGGGTTAATATCCAAAATATGTAAAGAACTCAAACAACTCAACATGAAACAAACAATTCAATTTAAACAATGGGCAGAAGACATGAACAGACGCTTCTCCCAAGATGACATACAAATGGCTATTTTCAACATAGTGAAAAGATGCTCAACTTCACTAGCTACTGGGAAAATGCAAATCAAAACTATAATGAGATAACACCTCATACCTGTTAGAATGGCTATTATCAACAAGACAAGTAACAATTGTTGGGGAGGTTTTAGAGAAAAAGGAACTCTCATCCACTGCCAGTGGGAATGTAAATTGGTACAGCCACCAAGGAAAACATTATGACTGTTCCTCAAAAAATTAAGAATGCAGTTACTATATGATGCAGCAATCCCTCTCCTGAGTATCTACCTGAAAAATTTTGAAAACATTTATTTGCAAAGATATATGCACTCCTATGTTCATTACAGCAGTATTCATGGTGGCCAAGACATGGAAACAACCAAAGTGTCCTCTGATAGAAAATTGGAAAAAGATGTGGTAGATATATACAATAGGATACTACTCAGTCATAAGAAAATATGAAAGCTTGCCATTTGTAAAAATATGGATGGACCTTGAGATTATTATGCTAAGTGAAATAAGTCAGACAGAAAAAGTTAAGAACCATATGACTTCACTCATCTATGGGACATAAAACTGAAACTCAGAGGCAGAGACAACAGTATGGTGGTTACCAGAGGGAAGCAGAGTGAGTGAAGTAAAGGGTGAAAGGGAGGTGACAGAAGATGATTTGACTTTGGGTGGTGGACACACAATGCAATATACACAGAATAGATCATAGAAACCTACACTTGATACCTATATAATCTCACTAACCAATGTCACCCCAATAAATTTAATTTAAAAATCAATATAAAAAATAAAATAAAATATAAGGAAAAAATAAAATGCTCAAATTCACCAGTATGACTAATGATGATATGTCACTATATAAAATTCAGAGCAACAAAAATTTAAAAGTACCAATAGTTATTGCCAGTGGGAATACAGAAAAAACATGTAATCAAACATTGCTATTGGAAATAAGAAGTGTGGTAGCCTTTGGAGAAAGCAACCTGGAAACTTCTATTTAATATTTTTAAAAATATTTCACAGATTTTTTTTGACCCAATGACTCTATTACTGAGAATTTTTTCCAGTCAGATAAATATGCTAGTATGTAAGGACATATATAATGGATTCTTTTTAGCAGTGTTCTTAGTAGTGGCAAAAGTTGGAAACAAAATGAACGGTAATCAATCAGGTAATGTCTGGAAAATTATGGTGCAGACAGCTAAGAAAGGAAAAATAGTCCATAAAAATGCAATAATATTCCATCCATGTACTCATGTTATTGAACATATATATATTTAAATATAGTGTTTAAATCCATAAGATTATATATATATATATGTATAAAGAACTATTTACAAATTCTGACACTATTGTAAACTGAGGACACTGAATGACTTTTGATTTATAATCTCAAACACACGAATATTATTCTGGTATAATAAATAATGCTCAAACTACTTTTTCCTTAAAGCGTAATCACTTATGAATAACTGCTCCAGGATCATGTGGGGGTTATTTCAAAAACAGCACTTCTGGACACTACTGCAGTTCTTTGTAATAGAAATAATCATTATGCACACTGAAGTGTGAAAATTGTTGCATTTAAATTTTCTGTTCAGGAAAACTGTGCTTTTTTATGTATGTGAGTGAGTGTATGTGCGGTAATATAATATATCACATTACATTATAATGCAACTCTTCTAAGCATGTGCATGTGAAGAGGAAAATAACAGTTTTTCTATTTATGGCTTTAATTTAGCCTTTAAGATACCTGATGAAGACCTAGACTATTGAATGGAGCAAGAATTCACCTGGTTCACTGAAGTTCACAATACAGTCCTTTTTCTCCGAGTACTCCAAAGACTGCTGCTGAATTATAAAAATTAAATTGATGAATGTGACTGCTAAAATTGTATATAAGACTTTCAGGGGGGTTAAATAAAAATGAATATTGTTGATTTAAACTTTTCTTAACTTCTTGTTCTTGACTTTATGAATTTCTGAGTGGGCTTTCTGACTTTTTTAGTTTCATAAATATAGTATGATGTCTTTTCATTTGACAATGTTTTCATTTGCATATAAAACATGTTTTATAGTTTAATTCAATAATTTTCTTCTTATTATCAAATCAGAACAAATTTATTTTTCCTTAGTTTTTTTAGAAATGAAAGTCAGTGATTTTTGAAGCATTTGTTAATAATATATGGTTAGCTGCACAAGGTATGACTTTCATTGATTCTTTAATTGCTTTTTGTTTCTGTAATTCTGGTCACTGACAAAAGTGCACAACAGCAGCTGGTAAGAGAACAAAGACTCTATGGCTCATTTCCTCATTCATTAGGACAGTAAAACAGGCTGAAATAAATGCATAAATTATGTTTTTTCTATGTAACTATTGTAATGAAAATTCATATTTTACTGAAAATCACTTATCAGTGTTTCATATAAAGAGAGAACAACATTTAAAATGAGTTCTAGTAATCCAACACTAAGAGCTATTAACTCGTTCAATTTGCATCAGTGTTAGATGCATACTGATTTTTAATCCTTTCTCAATATTCAGGTATTGCATGCATCCTTTTCTGACATATAGGGCTTCAGAGCAAGTATCTCATAGAAACATATTTGTCTCACTTTATATTTATTTCATACCCGTTGTCAATTCAAGAAAATTTATTAAACACCTACTGTTTGTGAGGTATTGCACATTAAATACATTATATACCATGTACTAAGCACCCCATGTCAGGTATTATACACACATACATACACACACACCCCATATTTTACTGTTTATAATGCACACCCAATTTTTTTGCCCACACTTTCAGGGAAAAAACTTTTTGTTTTAATTTTTTTATTCAATTTTTTATTTACTTACATTTAGATATTTGTTTTTTGTATTATAAAGGGCATTATTTTGCATATGGATATAGTTGTTGCTTTCTAGAAGTACATTTTTATTTTTATTTATTACTTATTATCCATAAGCATAAGTAAAATAATTAAAAATATTTCTGTAGATATGGAATTAGTACTACTCATGTATAATGCATATCCTTATTTTTCCCTCAAAAATTTGGGCAAAAAAATGCACATTATATGCAGCAATATACAGTGTCTGGCACAAATAATGCCCCTTCTTTATTAAAAAATATTTTATTATAAAATCATAAACATGTGATTCTCTAACATAACAATATCACACTCAAGCACACCATAAGACATTTTAGGTGAAATGTACAAATTAAAACTACAAATTATTACATCCATATTATCCTACTAACCACACTCAAGCAGGCATTACTTCTGCTGCACCCTGTATATATATAATCTCAATTATCATTTACATACCTAGAAATTCCACATATATAATAATTAACAGAAGTCTTTATGTAAAAATTTTAAAATAATATGTAATTAGAGCCTTTTCCTGTATTTACATTTATTTTACCAAAATTGTGTATGAGACATCAGTTGTTAAAATATTTCCTTATTAATACACTAGTAAGTGGTAAATGAAAATTGATGGTACTTTCAGAATTTCCACCACTTTTTGAGAGAGTTAGGAGGAATGTTCACAAACCCCCTCCTCTTATTGTTCAATATGTCCCCTAGGTGGTGAAACTCTATGTTTAGTAGTTTAACATTTGTTACTTACTATGCACAGATACTGCTTTAAATGTTTTCATGAGTCAACAATCCTCTCAATACCCTGATAAGGTACATACATTTTTACACCCATTTTAAATTTGGGAAGACTAAAGGACAAAGAAGTTTAATGACTTGCCTAAAGGCAGGTATCTAGTAAGTGACAGAGCTAAAATTTGAAACTATTCTCTGGAGGCCATGCTCTCAGCTTTCATATAATATATACTGACTTTCAAAATGAAGTACAGTTTATATGGGGCTAAGACACCTCCAACTTTCATTGGCTTAAACCCATTGTAACCTGTGATACTGTTACTATTTGTAAAGAATGCATTTACTTTAAAATAAGGCATGAATAGAGTATGGGTCATATCAACAGAGAAAAGGACTAAATTTGTATTATCAAAATTGTCCTTGAATTTTGCCTGTGTCTCTCACTCCAAGTTTATCTCTGTTCTCATCTTCCATGTCTGCATCACTTGGCAACTTAAAACACATAGTTAAAATATAATGTTCTTTTGAAGAGGGAATATTTTAGAAATGGAAATATTTACTTTTTTCCTCTTAACACTTGGATTACCTTTTTTCAATGACTCCTTTACAGAATTCTCCCATCTGTGAACCAATAAAAACGCAATACATTTATTCATTTATTCATTCATCTCTCTCTTTATCTAAGTATCATTCTTTCTTCTCCTCTTCTTTCCCTTGTTTTTCCTCCTTCTAGTTTTCTTCTCTCCCTCTCTCTCATAAGTTGTCACATGAGTCCTAATGTTTCTTGTTAATTTATTACTACATAGTTCATGTTTGTTGTCACTATAAATATCTTTTTTCTTCAACTTTTTAATTGAGTTATTGCTAATATAATCCAAATTTCTGATTCTCTTGAAAAATCAGACAATCTGGAAACATTGGGCCATCATTCTAATATGACAACAGTGACCCAGAGTTAAGCAGCTTGTTTTTCCTTTCAATGTATATAGAACATGCATTTGCCATTTTACCATATCCAACTCTCAGCCAGTTCTAAGCATTTACATTTCCTGGCCATTATGGGAAAATGCATTTATTTAGAGTTGGATTCATCATAAATACAGATGTTGACATTACTTGGATGAAATAAGACTATGTCTTCTGCTTGGTGCTACCTTTGACTCTATGACCTCACCAACTTGGTCAGTAAATATAATGTCTCCTGACTGACATGTAGAGTTTTCTACATCCTTCTAGCTCCTTCTTTTCTGCAATCTCATGGAGGGCAGGACAATAAAATGGTATTGGTCTAATCAAGATGGTATAAAATATATAAAATAAAGTGGAATCACTCATGTTAACCAAGATGGCTGCCAGTCAGCCATGACACTTTGGTTTAAGAGTGAAACTACCTAAATCAGAGTAGACACATTTGGCAAGGAGACACACCTGAGATATCTGCACACAAAGTCAGAGCAGATATGTCTGCAGAGTGGGACCACCCATAGATAAGCTCCTTGGGAAATTCCACACTTGTCATCAGGAGTGTCAAGCAGAACAGCCATGGACCACCCATAGGCTCCTGGGAAAACTCCACACTTGGCATCATGAGTGCCAAGACATTTATGGATAAGACCCAGAAGGGTGGAGTACACAACTTTCAAGGCATAACTGAGGCAGGTCCAGACCACTGCTGAGACGGCCGTGCTTCACTCCCCAAAGCGCTGCTCCATTCCACACTGATCTTCTCTGGCAATGCCCACCAGAGTCTCTGCCGTCCTGGATGGGGGACCTCCCCTGCCTTGCTGTCCACCTGGCTCCGGAGATCCTTCCCTGGAAGACACTGACAACTGTCTTGTCCACAGTGCTGTCTCCTGGACCTGCAGACTGAGATTCTGGGACTTGGATTCGTTATCCCGCATTGATTGTTGTGTGTGTGTGTTATATTTCTTTTAGACTGTTAGAGTGTGAGTAGGATATTAATGTATGTTGATGTTCTACTTTGAATGAACCCGCATTCAATAAAACTAGGTGAATAGCATAGTTACCGTGTGTGACTCGTCTCTTCCTTTGTGCTGGACTGCTCAGCAGGCAGCTAGCTGAGCAGTTGCCCAGCTGACTTACAGGAAAGACTATATCACAAACCTATGCTCGTTGCAAATCTGCCCTCAGCCTCTCAGATCAGAAACAAATGTCACATCCTCCCACTTAACCGCACTCTCCAGTCTTGTCCTTCTACAATGTTTGCATTCACAAACATAGAAAAGCTTGCCCATTTGCTTATTTCCTCAAACATTTTATGAGCATAGCTTTCACAAAGATACCCTTCTCATTTATTTAAAAAAATTTTTTATTTTAGAATAATTTTATATTTACAGAAAAGTTGAAAAGATAGTAAAGAGCATTTCCATTTGCTCCTTATCTATTTTCAATTGCACCTAATATTATCATCTTACATTACTTTGGAACATTTGCCCAAACTAGGAAACCAACATTAAAACATTACTGTTGTGGGTTGAATTGTGTCCCCAAAAGAGATATGTTCAAGTACTAATTGCCAGTGCTTGTGACTGGGACCTCAGTTGGAAATAGGGTCTTTGGAGACATAGTGAAGGTAAGATAAGGTTGTAGTGTATCAGGTTGTGTTCTAACCTAATGATTAGTAAGTAGCCTTGTAAGAAGAAAAAATTTGGACACAGAGATACACAGGGAGAATGCCATTTGATGATGGAGGTAGAAATTGGAATAATGACTCTAGAAACCAAGAAATGCCTAGGCTTCTAGCAACTGGCAGAAGATAGGAAGAGGCAAGGACGGATCCTACTTTAGAGCCTTTGAAGGGAGCCTAGTCTTGCTGAAATCTTGAGTTAGGATGTCTAGCCTCCAGAATTGTAAAAAATTTGTTTCTATTGTTTGAAACCATCCAACTTAAGATACCTTGTTGCTTTAGCCTTAAGAAACTAATATAATCACTATGAAATACATCCCAGACAGTATTTGGATTTCACCAATTTTTTCATTAATGTCCTTTTTCTGTTCCAGGATCACATCCAGAATATCACATTGCATTTGGCTGTCTTATCTCCTTAGTCTCCTCTGGTCTGTGACAGTTTCTCAGTCTTTCCTTGTGTCTCATGGCCTTAAGAATTTTGAGAAGTCTGGGTCAGGTATTATTAAATGTTCCTCCTTTTGAATTTGTCTGCGTTTCTCATGAATAGATTGGGATAATGGAGTTTTGAAAAGAATATCACAGAAGTAAAGTGCCTACTTATCAGGACATATAATGAGGATATATGTATATGCTT